ACAAAGATGGGAACACCAGCTCCAAACTTTGTGTTTGTCAGAATAAACACCATGCCAGTAACATACTACCTGAGTGAAGTCACCCCACTTACATTAAGGTGAGTCCACACTTGGGACACACTCCCAGCATCTGAGCAGAATTCAATAGGACTTATTTATCAATGTTGTGCCCGACATCAACCACATAGCCCCTTTCTGTGCCAAGGCCTAGGGGCAGTAGCAGGGCCACTGTGCATCACTGCCAAGACACCAAACCATGGAACATATTTTAAGTCTTCTCTAGAAGTAAAGCTAAGAAAGAGAAATGTGTTCCAAATGAGCCAGTGTTCAGAGAGAGAACACTCAATAATGTCAGACACACACTGAAGTCTAAAAATAGCTTTTTCCCAGAGCCAAGCTTATGTGCTGGCACTTCTCAGGAAAAACTTCAAGTCTCTCATCATTCTTGGGACATGGCAATGAACAAAGGAGAAAGGGATTGCTTTTCTACTACTCTTTTTAACAGAAGACTGATTAACCTCCCAGGGGGAAGACAATCTCCATTCCACTTGTCCTCCCATCTGTTCCCTAGACTCATTTCTCTACACCATATTTCCTTGGAGAGATGGAGTCTTTTCTGGGAGTTGATACCACACTCTAAGACACACTAGTGCTGGCACTCGAATGTAGCAGTATTCATTCTTAACCTGCAGAAAAATCCAGCTGAACTGACTAGGAATGTTTCACCCAGGATGAGAAAAGAATTATGCCTCAACTGTGATTCATTTCATCAAATTCTTCTTAACTCACCATGTCCATACCCTTTGACATATGACTTTGAAGTTTTTACAAGAAAGAAGAACAAGGTGACAAATTGTGGCCAGCAGTATGAAGCAGAACCAACCCTAGATGCTAAGAAACACAGATGCTGCCCATCATTCTCTTCCACCTACACCATTGCTATGACAAGAGCCTATCTAAGTGGACCCAAGGTACCAAGATGAGAGCAACAGGAAGTAGGACCTCCCCCACTGAGATCCAGCCACCAAAGCCACGAGCAGAATCCCTGCCAAGGGGATTAGAAAATTGGTACAGGCTACCTGTGGGATGATAAGTTCTCTGTCTCAGTAGGAATTGGTACAGAAGGAGTCCCACATAACCATCAAGAAATCCCCATATTGGGAAGGAAGTTGGGACCTTCTAGTTATTCTTAACTTCAGCATTTTAAAGATGAACGAAGTTGCATACACACACACACACACACACATACACACAAGTCAGAGCTATATTAAAGTAACCACTGGTAGCTATCATCATCAATTCATAAAAGATAGGACATTTTAACACTAAAACTGAAAAGGAATATAATCCTAGAATATAAATATAGCACAGTCATTTCTAAGAAAAGGCAACTGGCCATCCTCCTTATATGAGCCGTTTTCTTCCATTCTGTCACAGATCAATGAAAACTTGGTCACTAAATAGTTCTTTTCCGTGTGTTAACAATTTCCCTACATGCTTTATAGTAGAAACTGTCAGCAGAACATGAAGTCAATTACATAAATTTTAAGACTTAAATCCAGGTTCTGTTTATTCTGTGACAATATAAAATCCTTTTCTCCATTGAGACAGAAAGTAAAACTAAAAATAAATTTCTTTTCCCCTAGCTGGATGTCTGAAAGCAACATGGGCGACCAGTAGCTTCATAGGAGTCAGTGCTGAGCATATGCAAGCAGTGTTTCTATCATTATGTAAAGGACACAGGCTTCATTAAGTTGAACAAAGTAACCTTTCTTGAATGGATTATTCAAAACAGTCTACCCAATGAAAGAGACTATGCCAGTCTTTGTACGTAAAAATAAAAATGGAAAGACTCTAAGACCTTCCCAAAAAAAAAAAAAAAAAAAAAAAAAAAAAGGTAATGTAATTTTGATCACCTGAACTACTTACTTTCTCTACTGGCTACCAAGAGCACCTGTGAACAAACAGCACAGTCACCAAACCCTAGCTTCATGGGACATTTGAGGTGACTCCACATCAGCCTGAGATACCATAAGCTACTTCCTTGGTGGATATATATGTCCACCAATGTCTTCAGACCATACAATATGAGAGAAGGCAGGGAGTTTCTGTACATGGTCAGGTCACTCATGAGTGTTGACTGTGCTTTCTCTGGGCCATGAAAAGCCACTCGATGATTCTGTTGAATATGAGGAGGCCTATGAGAACAAAGGTTCCACAAAGTGGAAAGTAGTTATAGAACCTACTTACATTCAAAACTCCCAAGCACACTACAGACACCAGAAACCAGGCTGCTTGTGGCCAATGACACTTAAGCAATCATAGCAGGTGTCTGTTTCATCCAGAAACTTCGGGACTATTGTATAGCTCACTATTTCTTTCCTTTCCATCTGATATGAAGCCATCAGACTTTCCAATAGAAATACAACTTCAATCTGAGGCCTACAATCTGAGATCTACAATTACCTCCTAACAAGCATTAGACAGAAGTATAAAATAACCCTTAGTTGGTAGTAGCTGCTACGTTTTTGGGTGCCTGTGTTATGTATGTACTTTGACCCACACAGTGGGGATGTCACATGGTCTTCTGGAAGTCGACAAAAATGTCAACAGTAGAAGATGGCAAACTTTCCTTGGCAGTGTTTCTGCACTAGGCAGAGGTCACAGGTGAAATCACAGGTGCCTAAGACATGGATCCTGCCCCTGTTGAACATATCAACAGTTAGAAAAACATGCATCCCTCTCATGTGCAGATCTGTGTTGTCAGATTATTACTAGGTTCTGTGGTAGGTGGAATCTTAGAGCTACAAAGGCCCAGCCATAAGTACTGTGGGCTATTATTTAGGACTGGAAAGCCTGGGATAACATCTTAACTCTGAGACATTGTGCCCACAATTGGCCACTCCTCCACAGACGCCTACTGTGGCAGGCACTGGGGAAAAGAGGCCAGACCCTTAGCTTTCCAAACTTACTAATGACATAAGGGAGCTACTTAAGGATGATGGAAGACAATTTGACAGAGCTTGAATAAAATAGCATTTGGAAAAAAAAAAAAAAAAAAAACAGGAAAGGCCTCTCAGAGGAGCATATGAAAATAAGACTGTATCTGTCAAGGAAAGAGCTGGGGAGGGACAGGAAATGTAGGCAGCAGCATCACAAGGACAATGGGCCTGAGCTGGAGAGGAGGGTGGCTTATATAAGAACAGAAGAAAAGTCAGAGATCTGAGGAAGATGGGCACAGATGGCTGACTTAAGGTTGGTGTAGGAAACTATTTGTCACCTGGGCCTTGTGGTTCAGAACAAGGTTTAGAGAATCTTGTTTTGTTTGGTTTTTGTTTTTTGAATGTATAAAGGGAAGTAGGGGATAACACAGAAGAGAAATGATGGGATCTGACTGCATTTAAAGAATCCCAGAATGCTTTGTAAAGGATGAACCACAAAGAGGGCAGACTGTGAGGTCACACCCAAGGCATGGACTGAAAGTGCCATCACCTTCCTGATCTTCATAGATCCTGTCAATACTGCATCTCAGCTGCCTGCTGCCTGCCTACAATTCAGAGTGCACATGCTCTTTGGGTAAAGGCGCATATCGGTTTGCTCAATTAGTACATTTTCCTGCTAAGCATTTCTGGTGCCTTTCCCAGAGCTAGAGTCATGTCCAGTACATGCTTGCAAAGGCCTTCCTCTGCCAGCTGCAAATCAACTGTCAAGACACCAGAGCTCTACATACACAAGACAGCAGCCTCATCCCTCCAAATGGATAGAATTGAGAGTACATCAAAGCTGGTCTAGAATAGGAGTGCAGTTCATCATCAAGACACACACAGGAAATACAAACCAGGACTCTTCAATCCATCAGAAGACTTGTCAGTTGAAAAGTAGGCAGATAAGGGTAATAACTGTAGCAGAGGTAGTTAGTTCTGACCAGAGATGGTCAAAGCTCTCCTAACCTGAGCTAAGTGCTGGTTAGGGAAGGAAGGCTTGGGGAGCAAGACCAAGTTGCTGATACTTGATGGTCTGGGCTAGACTGCTGGAATGTAAGAGTTCACATAAACACAGAGGAGATTCTCCTAGACCATCCAGGCCTCAGCGGAACTGCTGACTGGCCAGAGGAACATCAGTGAGCTCAGACAAGATCATCGGAACCAAGCTAGAACTGCCCGCCAACTCAGATACACACATGAAGAGATAATAAAGGTCTACTTGCTTTAACATACAGTGCCTTGAAGGGGCTTGTTATGCAGTGATAGCTAACTGATACTGAAGGAACTCAAAGTCAGTAGCTATTGCTACTTCTCTTTAGCTAGTCTCTGGTGGAGCCACAGCCCTGTTTGTTTTCCTACTTGAAGCCATTGCATATTCAGATCACTAGACTGAGGCTATGGCCCTTGAAATTATTCTTGGAGTTAACTTTACACAACATCTACTATCTTCTGAAAACTCCTTCCTGTCTTTGAGCCTTGGTTCCTTATCTCTAATGTAGGAACTGGAGGCTTTCTAAAGAGCCTCCTCAACTCATGCATTTGAGTGACTCTGAATTCTTCAATCATCAATCTGTCATCTAACCAAAACGGATTTCTTTTTCAGAGCCAGCAGCCTATTGTGCTATGGCTACGGCTAAGAACAGAGTTGCATAATTAAGCACAAATAAGATGCTGGCCCTGCTCACCAGTAGCCTGGGACCTCAGGGGCTCACTGACTTATGAGTACAAGGACAGAGCCTTGTGTGTGACTTGACAACCAAGGAGGCTAAGTAGTGACAGCAGTGAGTGGAACTCTCAAGTTCACAACTTCCCAGAAGACAGAGGGGATGCACGTCCAGTAACCCAGTGACCTGGACTTTAGGACCCTTGTCAAAAGTGTTGAGAGAAGAATTGTGGCAGCATGGGCCTCCAAAGTCCTCTACACCCCTGATTACAGCCATGCTTCAAGACTTCCTCCATCCGAAGAAGAGTTGGACATGTGAACAGTGCCTGCCATGGGACCTAGAAATGTACTACCATGAAACCAAGGAGCAATGGACTTGGTGTTCCTCTCAAAGCCAGCTCGACGTGGCAGCTGTTCCTCTTTGAACCACCGCACGATAACCTCTCTGGAGAGTGGACGCAGGGGACGCTCCCAAGTCCTGCTGGGAAGAAAGAGTAAGGGAGGGGATGAATCAAAGAAGGAGAAGAGAAAAAAGAAAAGGGATAGGGATGGAAAGGGGAGGAAGTTGAGTGGGAAAAGATGGCTCAGCAGGTAAAGGCACTTGCTGCCAAGTCATACCATGTGAGTTTGACCTCAGGGACCCACAGGCAGAGGATTGTCTCTCATGGGTTGTTCTCTGAACATTCCCTAGAGATAAGGGAGCCACAAGTACTTGATTCCCCAGCTTCCCTCTTCAGGGAGAAAGCTGTGCTGCAAGGATGGCTGAGGGGCCCTGAGATTGGAGGCTAAATCTCAGGGTCAGCCCAGACAGACAGATAAAGCGTGGAGAGGCTCCAGGTGACCTTGTGTCTTTGGCTTTGCCAAACATAGGTTGTCACTAAAGTGTCCTTGGCAAACAGTCCCTCTAGGGACACAAATGTGTGCAAGGACCTCTCAATTTACCCACACTAGCCTGCAACCCTGATTTTCAAACTAGGTGTAAACCAGCTCCATCCACAGTTAGAAAAGGCTATAGCTCCCAGATACTGGGCTATATTTATCCCATCTTAGTTCTTTTATTGCAAGGTTTGGGCCAAGACCAAGGAATCTAAAACTGTGGGAATATTTGGGGTATTTGCATATGCAGATTTTGAGGGGAAGAAGATGTCAAGGATTACAAGAATCCTTAACCTCTGAAAGGCTAACCCCCAGAACTGCAAAGTTGTTTGGAAGTTTCAGAGCCCACCCTAATTCTGCATTCTGCCCCCATTACATAGATTGGAATACTGAGACCCAGGAAGGGCAAATGACCAACCAATAAGAGACAGAGCCTGGACCAGAATCCATGGAGTTTGGATGGGCCTCTTGGGTCCACGGGCCATCTTAACACACCTGTCAGGTTCTGTAAGGGGTGATGGTGGACTCATGCATGGAAGTTGATGGCAGAGTTTTGCCTCCTGCTCATGATTCTGGCCAAGTTCTTGAAACATGGTGCTCAGGCCAGCAACTGTGCCCTTCTGGATGGCTCGAAGTGAGTGGCGCCTGTACTCATCCCGGGCTCGCTGGGCACGACGGCTCCTCTCTTCATCAGCAGCCTTGGATCTACGCACTGGAAAAGAGAATAGCATGGTTGGCCTTGACCCACAGTCCAAGCTACACACTTGGAAAATATAGACAGCTCTGTATACAACTTATTTGGAATTCCATGATTTCTTGAGAGCACCACCCACAACACCATAGACTACAATAGGCTGGCTCATAAAGGAATGGCAATGCCCAGCCCCCAAGATTGTGGGGGTACAGGAGTTTTTTTATAACTGACACTTCATGGGCTAGAAAAGTGCAAGGCACTATCCTCTCTCCAGCTTTCTGCTTTCTATGTCCCTCAATGGGGCTCTGACACAACCAAGCAGCCTTGAGAAAGCCACCCTGTGTGAGCATGTGCATGGGTGTGTGCATGAGTGCACACATATGTCTGTTTGTATGTGTGTCTGTGTATGACTGTGTATGTTTCTGTGTATCTTTGCATGTGTGTTTATGTGCATGTCCATGTGTATCTATGTATGTGTGTGTCTTTCTGTGTGTGTCTGTGCATGTCTGTGTGTATATATGTATGTCTGTGCATATATTATATCTGTTTCTGTGTGTGTCTGCGTGTGTGTGTCTACATGTCTGTGTGTCTGCATATGACTATGTGTACTTCTGTGTATCTCTGCATGTGTATGCATATACATGTCCATGTGTATCTATGTATGTGTGTATGTGCATGTCTTTCTGTGTGTGTCTGTGTGTATTTATGTCTGTGCACATATGTGGCTGTTTATGTGTGTGTGTTTGTGTATGTGCATTTTCATGTGTGTGTCTGTGTATTATGTGTTTGTGTATGTGTGTGTGTGTGTGTGTGTGTGTGTGTGTGCACGCGCGCGCATGTCTGTAGCTCCCAAAACTCATAAGAAGTTTGGAGTTAAGAAAATGAATACTAGCTCTCTGCTCCCCTCTGTTTCAGAGATAGCATCTTCTTGTGCAGTGTCAGGATGGTAAAAATCAGAGTGAACAGATATGGCCATATTGGGGTCCTGGTCACCAGATCTGTCTTCATGTCTGGCAAAGTGGATATTGTTGCCAACAATGACCCCTTCATGGTTTACATGTTCTAATATGACTTTACTCATGGCAAGTTCAATGGCACAGTCAAGGCTGAGAATGGGAAGCTTGTCATCAACAGAAAGGCTATCACCTTCTTTCAAGAGTGAGATCCTGCCAACATCAAATGTGGTGATGCTGGTGCCAAGAATGTTGCAGAGTGTACTGGTGTTTTCACCACCATGGAGAGGATAGGGCCCAATTGAAGGGTGTGGCCGAAAGGGTCATCATCTCTGCCCCTTCTGCTGATGCCCCCACATTTGTGAGGGTGTGAACCATGAGAAGTATGACAACTCCCTCAATATTGTCAGCAATGCTTCCACACCAACAACTGCTTAGCCACCTTGACTGATGTCGTCCATGACAACTTTGGCATTGTGGAAGGACTCATGACCATAGTCAATGCTATGAGTGCCACTGGAAGACTGTGAATGACCCCTCTGGGAAGCTGTGGTGTGATGATCATGGGGCTGCCAAGAATATCCTCCCTGCATCCACTGGTGCTGCCAAGGCTGTGGGCAAGGTTATCCCAGAGCTGAAGAGGAAGCACACAGGCATGGTCTTCCATGTTCCTACCCCCAATGTGTAGGTTTTGAATCTGACATGCCTCCTGGAGAAAAATGCCAAGTATGATGACATCAAGAAAGTGGTGACGCATGTATCCCAGGGCTCACTGAAGGGCATCCTGGGATACAGTGATGACCAGCTTGTCTCCTGTGACTTGACTTTAACAGTGATGCCCACTCTTCCACCTCTGATGATGGGGCAGCCATTGCTCTCAATAACAACTTTGTAAAACTCATTTCATGGTATGACAATGAATACAGCTATGGGAGCAGGGCGGTGGACCTCCTGACCCAAATGGCCTCCAAGGAGTAAGAAGCCCTGGACCTCCCACCCCAGCAAGGACATGAGAGAAAAAGAGAGGCCCAGCTGCTGCCAAGGAGTCCCTGTCCCAACTCAGCCCCAACACTGTTCATCTCCCTCAGTTTCCATTCCAGACCCTCAGCATAACAGGAGGGGTAGGGAGCCCTTACTCTCTCGAGCACCATCAATAAAGTTCACTGCACCCATATTAAAAGAAATGAAAATGAAGATTGAATAAAGCCTACTGGAGGCAAGGGCTTCTGCCAGAACTGATCATCCTGGAGTCTGACTGTTCCTTGCCAGACCTCTATCTGCCTCTAAAATCCAAGCATCCTCACTAGTGTGATCTGGAATCTGGCCCTGGACTTGAAATTGTGAAAGATGAATGATTAAACTGGCTTTGGCAGACCATCTCACCCTCCAGGAAAGAAAATCTTACTCCGTCCATTCAACATGCATCACAGGCTACTACAGCTTTCTAGAAAGTGCACTTTGTCAGTATTTGGAGGACACAGGTAAGTTGTTCAAGTCTGCAAATACTGTTTTGCCATCACAGGTAAGGAGGAGCCTTTTGGAGAACATGGCATCTTTCAGACCCAAGCACATAGTCTATGACTAAAGAAGCACTTACAGAGTGATGCCATGCAGAGAACATCTGAACTCTGCAGGGGCAAGTTCTTTGGCCTTCTCATTACTAATCTCCAGTGTTTAGAACAGGGTTAGCAAACAGGATATCTTTCTAGGTGATTAGGGATTCCAGTATCCTGGGGCAATAACTCATGGGTAATGTACTTGTAAGATGTGAGTTCCATCCTCAACACCCTGCAAAAAGTTGCTATGGCAGCATGTGCTTGAAATTCAGCTCTGGGGACACAGAGACAGAAGGATCCCTGAAGCTCACTGTCCAGCCAGACTAGCTCATTCTGTGAGGCCTGGGTTCAAGGAGAGGCCTATTTTTAAAAAACGAAGTAGGAAAGTAGAAGTCATTCAAAGCCTACCTCTGGCCTCAGCACACACATGCACACACACACACACACACACACACACACACACATACACACACACGGTCATGTATACTCACACATACACATATAAAAACATTGATGATTTTAAAAAGCATTTTGTGATTTGGCTGTGTTTGACTCTGGGCTGGATAGAGAGAAGACATGGAAGCAGACCTTCCTTCCAATCACTCTGACCAAGAAGAAGAGGAGGAAGAAGAATAAGGACAACAAGAATCAGAAGAAGAAATGAATTACTGTGAGAGTTCAGAGCCTACTGTATTTATAATGTACAGGGACCAGGGCTGTCAAAGGAGAATCAGCCCAGGACTGTTGTGCAGAGGAAGTTGTCTGTTCCCACCAAAACTCAAGTTGAAATGTGTGGGCCTTTGAGAGAGACTATAGTCACCTTTGTAGGGCTGCGTTAATTTTCTCAGGGATGGATGAGTTCTTGGGAAACAAATGGCTCAAACAGATCATCCCCCTTTGTCCCCTCTCTGCCTCCTCTTGCTTTCAGGCAGAGAATTAATCTGCTTTCCTTGTGAATTACAGTGGAAGAGAACGAACAAAACGGTATGGAAAGATCAAGTACTTTCTAGAGAAATGGGAGAGGAGCTCATTCCAGGAAACAACTGTGGGCTTCAGTGACCTGGAGACTCATCTGAATGCCTCAGGGGGCAAGAATTGTGTGAAGCCTGCTTGCACTGTGTTCAGTCAGGATGGGGAAACCCAGGACCAACTTCACAATCATTATTCAGTGAAGTACCTCTGCCATACACCAAGTAACTTTGTAGAGTTTACAGCCCCTAAGAGACAGGCACTAGACACAGACAGACAGACAGACATAGGTTTTGCTCCTGAACCCCTGTCCAGTGTGGAACAATATTATTCCTTTGTTCTCTTTCCCTGAACAGTGCCACCCTTAGTCTGAGGACTGCCACACTGCTGGGCTATTCTACAGTCATATCCCTGATGACACACAGGGCTCCCACTCAATTATCTAACACTGAGGAAACACAGAAGTGTCTCTTTCCCCTCTTGGCATAATCTTTAAGTGGTCACACAGCTCCAACAGTTCAAAGAGGCAAGATTGAAGGGGTTTCACCACTTCACATAATATGTTGGCCAGGTATGGTGATACACTCTGATACTTCTAGGGCGCTAGAGGCTGAGCCAAGAGGATTGCAAGCTTCAGAACAGCCTGAATATATAATGAGATCCTGTTTCAAAATGAAGAATCAATGAATGAATGAGTGAGTGAGTGAGTGAGTGAATGGCATAGTCATACAAGTGTATTTACTTGTGCCACTTTGAAGTGTTGTGCAGAGCTACCACTTAATACTATGCAAGCCACACACCGTACAACACCAGGACACCAGTTGTAGTGTTTGGCCCGCAGATAGCTTACAGTCTGGTAATGGAAAATGCAGCCCTAAAAACAGTAGAGCTGCCATGGGGTGTGCATTGGTCACCAGGGCCCCAAGAGGAGGGACATTACATCCAGCATGGATATTCTCTGGAAGAGGGGAGAGGTCTAAGCTGATGCCTGGTGGATTCAAGGGACTCAACAGACAGCAGCCAATGGAAAGGCATTCTTAGCAGAGTAGGTTCAGAGGCCAGAGGGGGTAAGCATCTCTCCTGGAACAGTGCAGCAAAACTGTAAGTCATAAGTACCAGAAAAAGCTACTTAGAAGACCATACCTCCTGGCTTATGTGTTCTAATGATGCCCTGAATGATAACTGGAAGCCACTAGAGGGCAGAGTTCTGTCTGCTCTCTAAAGAGATTGCTTAAACTATACAGTGCTGGGAGTTCATTTACAAGAATGAGAATAAAGATGCAGAAAACAGGCATTCACTGAGCAAGGACAATGAATGGCTGAAGCAACAGCATATAAGTTCAGAGAAATAAAATGGGCAGAATCTGTACAATTATGGTGGCTTAGTAGTAGTATTACTTTATTTATGGGGCGGTGGGAGTAGAGCATGTGTAGACCTCAGAGGACTTGTGGGAGGAAGTTCTCTCTTTTCATCTTGTGAACCTCAGGACTTGAACTCAGATCACCAGCCTTGACAGCAATTGCCTGTACCCCTGAGCCT